AGCAGAATAAAAATAGAATTGTTCAAGAAGCAGACTTCAGTGAACCCTGAGATCGGCAGGTGAGATCCCAGAGGAGAAGAGTTTAAGGGCAAAGGAGTTCAGGAGAACTAGGAAGTTTTTTAAACCCTATTAAGGCAGAAGTGCAAACTGCAGCAATAAAAAGCAAAGATATGAAGAGTAACAAGAAACCAATCTACTCTTCTGCAACCTTGCCATCCTTCAGCTCAAAATAAAAGGAAGAACTCAAGAACACAGGGTCATAATCAGAAAGGCCAAGGCAAAGAATCAGATACAACTAGCAAAGGACATAAAGGGCTAACAAGAACAGCTTTCCTTATAACGATGTGAGGAGTAAGAGGAAGATGAAGAAAAAAATGCTTGTCCAATGCACATGCAATGTTTAATGTTTCTCCATGATCACAAGAAACCTGTTTGCACCTTTTCTTCTGCTTTCTCCCCACAGCAATGGGAAGAGCCCAGATGGGACTAAGAAGAGGACAGATTAGAGATATTTAATCTAAATGAAATGTTTTCACTAGGATGGTTAAACTTATCCTAGAGCACATTGGATGGATTGGCTGACGGTATCAGAGTCACTAGCAAGAAGCCAAAAGTTTGTGAGGAGCTTGTAAACGTGATTTAAAACACATCAGCAAAGTGCCAATGCAATGCACTCTTTAGCAGGAGCTGAAGATTTCTATACCAGCCTCTCAGGATATACTAGATTAACTAAGTGTTTGTGAGCCCCAGAACACAGCACTGAGCTAACTAACAGCCAACATGAACCTGTTGAGAACGTTTCATGCCAAGACTATCAGTGGTCTTTGTATGCAAAACGAAAGGAGAAGAAGTTGAGCTTTTGATACCATCTTACCCAATGTTCTCAGAATCTGCCCAAAGAAACGCTCTATAAGTAGCACTGTTTTGTAAGAGAGCACAAATCAGGGTGGAAAACTTGAATCAAAGATTAGTTACCACTTGGACACCAGATCTATCCAACAGGCACCTGCAGGCTTGTGTCCTGGACTGGTCCTATTTAGCAGCTGCCAAGAGTTCAACGATGGCTCAGGAGCCAGGCTTACCACATCTGAGGTGGAACCAACCAGGCTGGAGATGTAGCCTTAGGGAGGACAACGCACAATTAAGAAGATCACAAACGCTGATGGTATTACATAGTCATAACTTGCACTGGACTGCAAAATGCCTTGTGGCAGGGATAAAGTAAAGACTTCAAGTCTCTTAGATTTCATTTCTACAAATCAGATGACACTTACTTTAAAAAGAAAAAGACAGACAAGTTTTGATAGGAAAAACAATTAAAAAAAATCCCTATCTAGACTGCTATCTGAGGAAGAGGAGCACAATGTTCCTACAGAAATTTCCTGTTAACAGACAACTATTTCTCACGTTGTTCTAAGCAATCTTCTGTTAGCTGTAGGAATGAGAAAAATAGTGGTTTATTATGAATAAATTCAGGAAAATAAAAAAAGCTTTTCAAAAGGCATGGAATTATCCCCAAATGCTGATCAATTCAAACAATTTTAGAGAAGAAAAAATTTGGGAAATAAGGTTGAAGTCAAATGTCTGGATAGATGAACATCCAAAGAAAACTCTTCTTTTAAAAATGACAAAATATTCAGTGTTTTCAAAAGAAAATTTGGACTTTTCCCATGTTTTAAAATCAACTTAAATAAAAAGATTTTTCTGAAACATATGAAAAAGCCCCAAGTGAACTGATGAATTTTAGATCAAACAAAATAAATCAACCCATAACTTCTACATTCTCATTAGCAGTGTGTTGCAGCTAGACCCTCACTGGTTTTTCAAATCAGCTGCTCCGTCATTTAGTTTTCTCCTTGTAAGATTACTTGGTCATATCACAACACCCGGCAGCAACTCATGACGGTATCAATAGCGAGGACTTTAGACCAGGCTGGTTTTGCCATTTCCTCTAAACGGAGAGAGGTCTGAACTTCAGATGACTTTTAGAAAAATCCACTTCTGGTACTGGGACTGCTGAGTTCGCACCTCAAATCCTGTGTGCAGTTTTGGGCCCCTCACGACAAGAAAGACCTTGAGGGGCCGGAGC